GCTCGAAGATCGCTGCGACGTATGAAGTTGACGAAGACGGACTGTTGTTTTACTGCCGGAAGACCTTGACACGAGACGAAGATTGCGACGATGTCGTCAGACTGGTGGTGGTGCCGGAAAGCTTGCAACAGGACTTCCTCCACCATTACCACACGAGCCTGGAAGGAGGCCACCAGGGTGTCGGGAGGACATACCGCAGAATCCGGACGCGTTTTCACTGGCGTAATCTGTACCGGAGTACGTAGGGGAATGCACAGATTGTGAGACAGAGAAAGGGAAGCCCACAGATCAAGGAAGATCACCGGGGAATGTGCAAGGCACGTACCCGTTCCAGGTCATATCCATGGACCACATCCCATCGCCACCGAAGTCCTTTAAAGAGAACACGGAGTTGCTGGTCTGGGCTGACCTGTTCACCGGGTACGTGATCGCCAAGGCTGGATCATCGCGGGGAGCCCAAGCGGTGGCGGAAAACTACGAGGAATGTGTCTTCAGGCGGTTCGGTGCAAGTGAAACAATCAGGCACGATCGAGAACCAGGATGCATGGCAGATTTCTCCGCGCGTTTAATCGGATTGTGAAGATGAGGCAAAGTCCCACCATGGCATACCGCCCGCAGGGTAATGGAAAAGCGGAGCGAACGGTCCAAACACTGACGAGAGCGCTGAAGATGTATGTCTCCGATGTCAATCAACAGGACTGGGATGACTACGCCGAACGCTTGACGTTTGCCCTCAACACGGCGCAAGATCGAGTGCGGGGAGACACATCTTTCTATCTGGTGCACGGGTGGGATCAACGCTGGAAGCAAAGCTTCCGATCGGATCCACAAGGCGGAAGGACAGCGATGCGCGCCGGTGGAGGTATCGTCTGCAATCGCAATATCGACGAGCGAGAGAAGCGGTGAATAGCGATCTCCGGAAGGCGATCGAAGCCAGAGCTGCCCAACACAACGATCGAGTTAGGCCCCACAAGATCGAGCAAGGATCACAAGTATGGCTCTACCTGGATCGAGTGAAGGAAGGGTTCGCGAGGAAGCTGGCCCACATGTGGCACGGCCCTTTTCGGGTGATCGAGCTCATCGGTGATCATGCTGCACGCGTGGAAACCAGCGGAACAGAATACCGCATCTTCCCCGTGGTGCACCTGTCGAAGTTGAAGCTGGTGAAGGCGTTTCCCGATCGTCCAACTTGCACCCTGCTGGTGGATGAAGAAGATCGAGTCGATTTTGACGAAGCCCTGCTTCCGGAAGACAGCTGGGAGACTCCTTTGGGCGAGGACGAGTTCGAGGTGGAGCGGATCGCCGACGTGAGGTCTGGACGCCGCACGCGATATGGCCGCGTACACCGGGAGTTCCAAGTATTTTGTATCACGAACTCACGTGGGTGGACGAGGCCGACCTCAACTGTGGGGC